CATGGCGGCGCTGGCCCCCCGGCCATGGGCACCCCAGGGTGGGAGTCCCACCCCAGGGTGAGGGGCAGACCCCAAGGTGGAGGTCCCACCCCAAGGTGGGGGTCCCCAGCAGGGTCCCTGGGGGTGCAGGCTGCATGGCAGACCCTGTACCGGTTCCCTTCCAGGTGATCCTGTCCGAGCTGAGCCCGGCAGGTGAGGTGCCCTTTTTCGAGACCTGGATGCTGACCTGCATGCCCGAGGAGGGGAAGATCCTCAACCCCGACCACCCCTGCTTCCGCCCCGACTCCACCAAGGTGGAGTCCTTGGTCGCCCTCCTCAACAACTCCTCTGAGATGAAGCTGGTGTAAGAGCTCAGCCTGTGCTCCCACCCCACGGGGCTGGGGCAGATCGCGAGGGGAGCACCCACCCCAATTTCCCCAGCCCTGAGGCTGCTCCGGGCGAGTGCCTGAACCCTCTGCCTCTTTCCTCCCTCACAGACAGATGAAGTGGCATGAGGCATGTCTGAGCATCTCGGCTGCCATCCTGGAGATCCTCAATGCTTGGGAGAATGGTGTCCTCACCTTTGAGTCCATCCAGGTGGGCCTGGCTGGAGGATGGTGTGGGACAGAGCAGGGGCAGCGGCACTGCGCTGTGTGCTGAGGAGGGGCCAAGGCTTGAGCAGGGCAGGGGTCCCCTCTCCTCCTGCTCTCAGTGCTCCTACAGCCACTGTGGAGCTTGCTGACTCCTTCTTGACTTGGGTGAGGAACTGACGTGGCTTCAGCCCCTTGATGCTGCCCCAAACTGCCCCGTTGGTGGCAGTGGGGCTGGCAAGGTCAGGTTCACCCCATGGAGGAGAGAAAAGCTTGGACCCTGCAGGTGGGGCCCACAGCTCTGGGAGGTGATGCCGAGATAAAGCTTGTGCCTCCACGCATCTATGCTCATCCCCCTCCACTCCCATCTCCTCTCTTAGAAAATCACTGACAACATCAAGGGGAAGGTGTGCAGCATGGCAGTGTGTGCAGTGGCCTGGCTGGTGGCCCACGTCCGCATGCTGGGCCTGGATGAGCGAGAGAAGTCTCTGCAGATGATCCGGCAGCTGGCCACCCCCCTGTACAGCGAGAACACGCTGCAGTTCTACAACGAACGGTGAGTTCCCTGTGCTGTGCCATCTCCTGGCCTCCTTCCACCTCCCAGGGCTTGCCTGACCCCATCTCTCTGCCGCAGCGTGGTGATCATGAGCTCCATCCTGGAGCACATGTGCGCGGACGTCCTCCAGCAGACAGCCACGCAGATCAAGTTCCCCTGCACGGGCATGGACACCATTCCCTACTGGAACCTGCTGCCCCCCAAGAAGCCCATCAAGGAGGTTCTGACCAGTGTCTTCACCAAGGTGCTGGAGAAGGGCTGGGTCGACAGC